GAGCTCACAGCCCTGCCGTCCCACTTGCGCCCTCCTGGCTGGAAGGGCTCCGTCTGCACTGGGGTTGGAGTCTCAGGCTGCCCTCTGCGCAAGAGGAAGGAGCCCTGGACGCGGGAAGCCAGGATTCTCACCTGGACAGCCTCGAACCAGTGTCTGTACATAGCATCGCAGGCCCTTATGGAATTCCTGGACCCGGAGATGGCTGGCTGATAGGTCTGAGGTCTCAGGCAGCCCTCCTGCGTCTCCGGCTGTTCATCTGGCCACGTCTTAGTGATCCATTTCATTCATGGTGAATTGCTATGGCCTGCACCCGACTCCAGGACGTGCTGTGCCCATTTTTGAATTCTTGATGCAGGTATGGTCTTAACCCGGGGTGGACATACCAAAGCATGTTGGCTAAAGTACAGTTGTTGAGAGACTGAGTGAGGTCACCCCAGTAAGTGATCAATAAATGCTATCTCCTATTGTTTGCAAATCCTCACACCTCTTATAAACAAAACCTACAACAGCAAGAGTCTGCCTAGTTAACTACCTACTCATCAAAGTTGTTTCTGTCCAAGGTGCTTAAGACCTCAGCAAGTGCCTCCATTTCTCTGGAGTCCAGCTTTGGTGATCTTTTCTCACAGATTTACTTGATGTCCTTTTGAGACTGTTATTTTTAGAGGTTTCTGTTTTAGGGCACCTGTGCTCTCCAGAGAGAGAGAGACAGAGACACTGAGAGGGAAAGTGAGAAACCACCCCCCGACCCCCCACCCCGCGGTAATAGCTGCAATGTTTTCTCCATTCTCCTCCAGGACACCGCGCGCCTGCGCGTACACACACACACACACACCAGGCCAGGCGTGAGTTGCAAGCCACCAGATCTTGTATTTGAAGCGCAGTAGTCCTTGAAGGGGTCCAGCAACACAACTATTGAGCCATCTTCTGGCCCCCTTATCTAAATTTTTTAAGTTCCAAGAAGACTGGACCATGTCCTCCATTCTTTTTTATTATTATTATTTAACTTTATTTATTAGTATCATAATCTTTTTTTATATTACATCTTTACAGTGTATCAAACTTCTTTTTCCCGCAGGAATACCATGCATATCAGTCAAGAAAAAGACATTACTAGCCACATCATCATCATCATCATCAAAGAGCTTTTAATAATTTTTTACAGATGATTATTATTATCCTTTTTTAAAAAAAAATTCAATCACTATATACCATTTGCATGCCCTGCATTCTTATCTCCTAGCACTGTGCTGTGTACATATAGTAAGGTCTTAGAAAATCCAAAGGCAAAAGAATGGCTTAATCCTGCAGTGCTTATTTACCTTCATAATCCTCTGAGTTATTCAATGTTACTGTAAAACAAGGGGAACAGATAAAATTAGCTGAATTTGCAAGAATGGATCTTAAGGTTCATGCACATAAAATGACCACAGAAGGCCATAATTGAAAAAGTGGTGGGAATTAGTAAAAGAAGCCCGGTTTTTTGCTCGAGTTTAATTTCCCTTCAATCACAAGCAGTACTTTTACTGCCTTGATCACACTGGGTTGTTTTGCATTTCTAGACAGCTTGGATTGATTAGAAGAAAGTCAGTCGCTCCAGCAAATGGAAATCTAGGAAGAAGCAAATCCAGTGAGTGATGTGAATCTCTAAGCTCTATAAGCCCTTGTATTTTTTCAGTACTGGTAATTACCAGTACTGACCTTTTGCAGAGAGGTTGATTGTTTGATTAATAGTCATTCTGAGTCGACATGCTAGAATGATGGGAAGCACCACTTTACCCAGGAAATAAATCTGCAATGCCAATGGCCAAAGCTAGCACTACATGAGCCACTTTCAAATTGTAGAGAGAAGCCAGTCAATAGCGTTTTAAAACATGATGGTCTGTGAATTTTATATAAAATGTGTTGACTAGAAAAATAACAAAATTTAAAATATCTAAATGTTTTTATATTTAAAAATCACTTTAGGATTATGTACAAAACCACAGTTGTTTAGAAACCAAACTATATACTTTTACAAAAAATATGTACATTTCAGCTTCTATATAGTCTTTATATTTAATTATGGGAATATATTCTGTTTTTTTTAAGTACCTGTATGCACAACTTGAGTCACTTGATTTATTCTTTGGCATAAATTTATTACAATCTTTATGTCACTGTTTAGTCATTTTGTTATATTATGTTTTTGTTTTGCTTTGTTTCTGTAGAGGTTATTACCTCCTGTTTTTTTGTTTGTTTGTTTGTTTTTTGTTGTTGTTTTCTTTTTTTGGAGAGGTTTTTGCTATAGGGCTCGTGCGCTTGCCAGAAAGACAGAGAGAGACAGAGAGACAGAAAGCGAGAAATCACCCCCAAGGGGGGATGGCCACGCTGCAATCCCTTCTCCTCCAGTCTCCTCTTGGGATCTTGGGCACACACGCACATGCGCCCGGTGTGAGTCTAAGTCACTTGGTCCAGGACTCGAACCATGGTCAACTACATGGGAGTCCAGCGACATAGCCATTACGCTAACTGTTGGTCCCCACATTTTATATTTTGTAAGCACAAACTATACAAAAGAAAAATACAAAAATAGTCAATAGTCATGTGTTAGCTCTTAATAAAGATAAAAACATTGCATTAAATTTAAAAGGCAGCTTTTTATATTTACATGTAATCATTGGATAACATTGAACTACCTCTTTCACTTACTAAACGAATTTCCAGAGCTGAATTATCATTCACGCTCATGCCACTACATGGTAAGTGGTACGTAAATACCTGTAGGAATACAATATATTGTCTGCTCCTCCACTCAGAAGTAACCCTGTGTCTGTCCAGTCTACACTCAGAACTTTGTCTTCATAAGCAGCCAGATCATAGAAAAGAGCTTTACAACTTCTTGTATACCACAGCTTGAGCATATTATCTAAAGGACCTGAAATCAGCTGCTGTTCATGAGTAGGAAACCATTTTGCAGATGTGACCCAACCAGTATGTGGTCAGGGGCAGAGAAACCAAAGAACCATCTTTAGTTTGTGGATTCCACAGTTCAAGATACCTACCTGTGCTTCCAGATGCTAAACATTTACAAAATGATGAATAAGAAATATAATTAAACACTTTATTTCTAGTCAAAGTCGACCTAACATCCTACACTCTAGTTGTATGCTCTCAAGATTCACTGCAGATTTCTTCAGTATCTGACCAATAGGACCAAGGAAATTTCTTCCTTGTGGCCAGAGAGTGTGATGATAGGAGTCCTAGTCAAACCAACTACTTTGGTTTTCTCTTTTTTTCTTGGTTGATTTGTGAATTTTTCCATTTCATCTTCACCTGCTGGGACTATCAACCAGATCTTCAGCATGTTATCCTAGGAACCACTGTAAAATTTAGTTCCTGAGCTATTTCAGCAGGACCTCTGCAGCAATGCAAATCTTTCACTTTGTTCCTCTCTGTGTTCCACTCCCACAAGAGAATTCTCTGATCCATAGAAGCACTCAGTAGTAAGCAAGATAAATTGTCCTTTTTTTGACCCAGGCACATCTTTTACAACATCTGTATGTCCCACAGTTGTCATTATTGACTTTCCTTCCAAGAACCAGATCGAGAAAATTACAAGGTCCTTGAATGAGGTTAGTGGTGTCTGGCTCTTTTATTCAGTGATCACTAACTCCAAAATAGAATGTATAACTGCATTTTATGGAAATACGGGTTATGGAAATGTAGACTATTTATACAGTAATTTATAGTCAATGACATTTTTCTTTTTTGTTGTGTCAGTAATATGTACTAAAGAAATCATGAACACACACTTTCTAAAGCTGTTGGTCTGTCTGGAATCAGGTTCCCACTAAGAAGAATTCCAAATTCTGGCCAGAAATTTGAATACAAATCAAACTGAAGAAATGCCTGTGTCTAGCATTAGCATCCAGAGTCAAAGCATATGTGAAAGGGAGCTGAAAGGCACAATAGATTCCCATGAAAAAGTTAAAATGAGTTCAGTTGGTGTGGCTGCTCCTATAAAGGCACAGCAGGATCAGTTACAACTAAAGAGCAATATAAAAGCAGGTCTTTTCACAATGTCAAACTTTGCTCATCTCATTTTAATACTAAGTGCTCTATTTTTCTGGGCCAGTTGCAGTCTTCCAACTTGAAAGATGCTTGAGTTCACTGTGTATTCTGGTTACCAGTCCCTTATCTGACTCATACTTTACAAAAATATTTTCTTATTCTGAGAGCTGTCCATTCATACTAATTATTTTGTCTTGCCATACAGAAACTTCTAAATCTGATGTAATCCCCCTTGTCTATTCTTGGGATTATTGACTGTGCTTTGGGGGTCTTATTTAAGAAGTCTTTGTCTACCCCAGTGCCTCCTAGAGTTTCCCCAGTGTTTTACTGATAGTTTTACAGTTTGAGTAATTAATTAGGTTCAGATCACTGATCCACTTTCAATTGATTTTTCTCAATGGTGAGAGGTAGGGGTTTAGATTAATCTCTCTGCAGGTGTGTACCCAGTATTTCCAGCATCACTTGCTTAAGAGGTTTCCCTTTTCCCACTGGATTGACTGGTACCATTTAAAAAATATCAGTTGCCTGTATGTTTGGGAGTTTATTTCTGGGGCCTCTATTCTGTTTCATTGGCCCATTAGTCAGTTTCTGTGAGAATACCATGCTGTTTTGA